ACAGATAGACATTCTTCTGGTATTCTCTGCTTTCAGCCAAGATCCATCTAACATCAGCAACAATATCCCTAGTACCACGACCCCTTCTAAACCCTGGTACAGGAGGAAATTGTCCCTCTTTCTCCAGCAGAGCATCTGGTGGATTCAAACTGCTCACCTCTATTGTTTCTCTCTTTTAAGGAGTGCTTTGCTTATTCAGGGCCTCTTTCCATTCCAAATGAAATTGGAGATTACCTTTTCTATCTCATTGAAGAATGGAATTGGTATTTGTATTGGGATTGCATTGAATGTGTAAATTGCCTTTGGTAGTATTGTTGTTTTCACAATATTGAATCTTCCTATCCATGAGCACGATATATTCTTCCATTTTCCTAGGTCTCTTTTTATTTCTTTTAATAATGTTTTGTAATTTTCATAGAATAGATCCTTTGTGCTTCTGGTTAGATTTGTTTCTTAGTATTTAATCTGTGATTAGCTATTGTGAAGAGTATTATTTTTCTTAGCTCCAGTCTCTATATTCTCTCTGTCACTGTAGAGAAATCCAATTGATTTTTATATGTTGATCTTGTATCCTGCCACTTTGCTGAATTGGTCACCTGTGTCCAGTAGTCTTCTTGCTGAGTCTTCAGGGTTTTCTAAGTATATTATCATATAATCTGCATAGGGAGTTAGTTTTACCTACTCTGCCAATTTGGATACCTCTTATTTCCTTCTTTTGCCTTATTGCTATTGCTAAGACTTCCAATACAATATTGAATAGAAGAAGTGACAGTGGGCTTCTTTGGGTAGTTCCTGGTCTCAAAGGGAATGCCTTTAATCTCTCTCTATTGAGAACAACATTGGCTCTCGGGTTCACGTATATATTTTTTAGTATATTGAAGAAATCCCCCTCTAAGCCTAATTTGTTGAGTATTTTAATCAGGAAAGGGTGTTGGATTTTGTCAATTGTCTTTTCTGCATCAATTGATAAAATTATGTGGTTCTTGTTCTTTTCTTTGTTAATGCAATGAATTACATTGATTGTTTTCTTATTTTGAGTCATCCTTGTGTACCTGTTATGAATCTCACCTAGTCATGGTGAATTGTTTTTGTTTGTTTGTTTGTTTTATGTATAAT